CTCCAGTCCTTCAAGATGAGATCAGAGCCAGATCTGGATTGGGTTACTGCGACGGAGGACAACGGACAGAGTGAAAACTGGGAATCTGTCCACTGTACACTTTCCATTTCTCAAAATTATGTAACATTCCACATAGTTAGAAAATGAAAGCTTTGCAAACATATGCCACTTTATTTCTAATAAAGAAGGATGATAGCGTTATAGCCTGATAGCGTGACATATCTGATCAACTGTCTTTCTTCCGGCCGTCTGAACTGAGCCATGATCACTGTGCTCACGCAATTAGAGTTCACTTCTCCGGCCGTCTGAAAGTTTTAATGCAGTCATTCCGTGTCCAGCCTTCTTCAGTTCTATGATGTTGTTCCGTCCCTTGCAATTGTAAAATTGTATTCTTTAGTCTATGTATTGATCAAAAATCTGTTCGTGACGTTTAACCTTAAACGGAACGCCCCCACAGACTCCCAGGTACTGTTTTGCTTCACCTCTCAGGTGGTATTAGGAGGCACCCCTCCCTCCTGATACCGACACTTTCGGTTGTCGCTTTGGTGCCCGTATTTCAGTACCGGGCTCCGCTGTACCTAGCCGCAGATACCGAAACACTGAAGCTCCGAATAAAGCCTGTAAAGAAAAGAGAAGAGATGGCTGTTGCTGAAGAGAACTAGCAAATGAAACGATCAACTGTTGCAGAGAGAATCTCGTTTATTTTCAACAACGAGCTATTGAGCGATGTGAACTTTGTTGTTCCGTGTCGAGTGGCAAAACCGAAATTAAGAAGATGATACCAGCTCACAAGTTTGTGCTTGCAATCAGCAGTCCTGTGTTCTATCCCATGTTTTATGGCCAAATGGCGGGGACTAAAAACTCTATTGAACGGTCGGACTGTGAGTACGAGAGCCTGTTTGAGCTGTTTCGTTTCTTGTACACTGACAAAGTGAATTTGAACGGAAGGAATGTGATGCAAGTGCTGTACTTGGCGGAGAAATACATGGTCCCTTCACTCGCGGAGAAATGCTCAGAATATCTGCGAGATAACCTAGAGGCCTCTAACGTGTTTGCATTCTACTGCATGCTCAGAAATATGAAGATAAAGATTTGGAAGATCGATGCTGGAAAGTAATTGAAATGAAGACGGAAGAAGCTGTGACGTCAGATGAGTTTGTCACACTTGAGCTATCTATTGTTGAGTCCTTGGTAAAGAGAGAGAAGTTGAACGTAAAGGAAGTGGAAATGTTTAAAGCTGTGAATCGCTGGGCCACTAAGGAAAGTGAAAGACAAGGAAAAAGTCCTGATGGCGAGGTAAAGAGACGAATTCTGGGTGAAGAAATCGTGAAAGCGATCCGGTTTCCATCGATATCACAGAAGGAGTTTCGCTCTGATGTATTTGATTCTTACATTCTTACTATTCAAGAGGTTGGCGACCTGATGAAACACTTCAGTGGTGTGCTAACATCTCCTCTACCATTCATCCAGGCCAAAAGGATTACGAATTCGAAATTTCATCGATTTCAAAGATTTAGGCTGTTCAATTCTAATTCGCTCGGTTGGACCTACCGTAGCTCATCAAAAGACAGTATTGGTTTCACTGTCAACAAACCGATCAACCTCCACGGAGTTCGGCTGTTTGGGGCTGAAGGCGGCGAGTACTCTATCGACGCGGACGTCAAAGACACCACGGATGGCTCTTCTGTTATAAAACAATCAGGATCATACTCAGCCTGCATAAAACTCGAGACTAATTGCTATTATGGCTTTGATGTATTGCTTGATAATCCAGTTTGTCTAGTAGAAGGTAGGGTGTACGAGATAGAGGCATTTATGGATGGTCCGACATCATGGTACGGAGCAGGAGGGCAAACGGATGTTGAGTGCGAAGGAGTAAAATTCGCGTTTATTCACGCAAAGTCTAGCTCCAATGGAACCTCTGTAACAAGAGGCCAACTTCCAGTTTTTGTTTTCAGCAAAGTTTTGTAGTTCAATCAGTCTTCGAGAATCTTTTTAAAATTGGTTACCTTTTGACGAAGCTTCCCAGACTAGTGCAAAAATATCTGGGCATTCCTTTGTTAGCTTGATCTACTTGGCTTAGGCCGGGCCTAAAGACGCTGTCACTGATCGGATACACTGTACTTCATTATATCAGTTCACGGCTGTTTTAATTCAGCAAAGATATTTTGATTAATTTAAAGAATTTACACAACTTGAGGCAACTATAAAGCAGGTCTGGGACACGTACATTTGTGGAAGCATGGCCAGATGCGTGTTTGCCTTTTTAGAGTAATTGTGCAGACATTAACTCCACAAATGATCATGAACGTAAAATATTAAGATAAATAAGGAAAATTTTTAAATACAAACTTTAAAGCGCTGATGTCTATGTGAATGTACACATACCTACCAACTTTTACTGATCAAAAGCGGGAAAGGTTTATCTCTGGAATGGGAGTGCCAGGATGTTCAAGATGACCCGAAGACGTCCGAAGATTGCCGTTGACGTCCCGAAGACATTCCGAACATTTCACTTTCCCAGCTCCAGGTCGTTTCTAGTACTTTTTCTTTCTACAATTGAATAAACTCTGTTTAAATGGACTGGGTTTTTTTCAGTTCCAGTTCAGGTATATTTTTCAACGATGGGTTAGAAGGCTGTAATGCCAACCAAATAAGACTTAATTAATAAATTGTACTGCTATTTGAGTTATAAAAAGCTCACAATAATTGTATTAGTAAGAGAAAGGCACCTGGATGGAATTATGGTTGTTACATGCATATAACTGAACAATTAGTCGATGTAAGTAAAGAAACACCTTCGAACTTGAAAACAACGTAACGACCTTAACTCATGTTTTGGTTTTAGCAGATGATTAGTTGGGTCCCGTGACCCGTTTTCAATGTTTGATTGGTTTAAAAAAAAAGTGAAAAAGGAGTGGTGAGACGGCCATATAAAGGATATGAATATGGGCCCGGCTTCATGGCAAGCAGACGCTTTGATTAACGTTCTGTGCCAAAATGGTCTTTTTCTCGCCCAGTTTAGGCTGACAAGCGCACTTTGGGAATAAGCCCTTAACGTCCTCGCGATTAAGTAGCAATTTTTAGGCCGATGAGAGCGAAAAAGCGCTCCAAGAAAGGCTCGAGCTCATCGGTTGAAGAAGAAGGCATGACTCCTTCAGACAACTTGCAACTACTAAAAGATTTCATCGACTGCCTCAAGAAAGTGGTGTTCGGAAGGCTTTGCTAAAATCCATGAAGATATGAAAAAACTTCGACACGAATTTAAGGAAGACCTTGACGCTGTGAATGAAAGACACTATCAAGGAAGTGGAGAAAAGCTTGAGCCGCACACAAGAAGATGTCGAGTTACTGAAAGAGGCCGTCAAGAATGTAGCCGAGGCAAATACGTACAACATTGAAGCCATGAACAAGAGAATTTTAGACCTGGAGAAACAACTTAAACTAGAAACCGAAAGAAATACCAAATTAGAGCAGTATACGAGACGAGAAAATCTGCGATTCAGCAACATTAAAGAAACGGAGAAGGAAGATTGCAAGGCTATGATCTGCGACATCTTACAGAGAGATTTGAATCTGGACGCCTCTTCAACAAGATTCCATGCGGTTCAACGTGTGGGAAAACCAATGCAGGAAAGAACAAGACCGATCATAGCGCGCTTCGTATGCCGAGAGGACGGAAACCTTGTTTGGTCGAAACGAGGTAAAATTTAACACTCCACTGTGCACTCAGATGCTTACATAACAGAGGACTTCGCGCGCGCTATTCAAGAAGAGAGGAAAGTTCTAATAAAAGCAATGACCAAGGCAAGAGAAGAGCTAGGAATGGACAACACCAAAATAAATCAAAACAACTAGTTAATTACATTTGTCTTATCATGGGTATTCCAAAGATAGATAGATGTGAAATATACCAGTTCGAGTAAACCAATGATACAAACATCGTGACACCCTACTTTAATCAATGGCGTTACCAACAAACTAATCGATTGCAAATCGGCATTCTTAAGGACAAAGTACGAAATTCGGCTAATATTTGTGATCAGAGTTAATAAACTATTTTCTCTAGCAGAGTGCAAATAGAACTGAGCTATGTCTGAGCAAACTTTATGAGCAACGCTGGCAGGAAGACTTAATTTTTTTTAAAATTGATTTACAAACACGATATACATAGGAAAAGACTAAACAAATAAAGAGTGGAAATAACAATATTACAACACAAAACTTACTTACTTACAGTACAATATGATCGTTAAGACTATACATTACATTGTTCTTTACATAGCTATAACAATACAGTTTCGAAAATGTCCAGTTTCTTTTTTTTTGCTTTAAAGTTTCAAACAAAAGGCAGCACTACTAACGCTGCCTTTGCTATATATGTACAGTATGAGCATTATATTACAACGAAAAAACAACAAAAAAAAAGCATTACTTAGTTAACAAAAGAAAGAAAACCCGCCATCAGTGCATGTTAAATAATATGTTGAAAGGATTTTTGGAAAGCAGTAAGAGAGCTTTTTCGAAAGAGAGCTTTTCGTCGTGCAGGCAGCTGCAGTATATAGAAAATTTCGCAATTAGAAGCACATACTTCAAAGGGTAACTATGTTCCGTTTTGTCAAAAATACCGTATAAAATCACACTATTTGATAATGCTAGTTGCTGTTTCGTTTTGTTTGTCCACCAGTTTTGAAAGGTCTTCCAAAAGGCTATAACGGAAGAGCATCGTAAGAAGAATAGTGACTTCAGAAGACTTCAGGAAGACTTCATAGTGAATTAGTCATAATCAACCACAGCAATCGGAGATCGTGCACAACTCTATCGAACTAAGGATAAGCAGGATACCATTTTTCGCGATAAAGATTGATGCATCTCTGCCGTACTCGAAGAAGAGGACCAAGCGGAGAACGAGAAACACACCATTGACACAAAGTATCTGAATGGCAATACGCAAAACCGCTGGATACGTGAAGACATCCCAGCCGCCCGCCCCGTCATTTCGGGTCAGCTTGTTCTCCACCAACTGCAACGGCGACACCAAGATGCTGACACAGACGAAGGCAATGATGACTCTCTCGAAACTCTTTGGAACACCATGGTTGAGTTCGTTCTCCTCTAGGATGACTTCCAGCATCTCAACCCCATCGAAGAGATCCAGCGCGATTTGGAGAGATAACTTTAACACCAGTTCTTGATAATCAGTAGAGTCCACCGCGGTGTTTAGCAACAGCAACAGCAAAAGCGGTGAAATACACAGTGTCATTTTCAAGACGTTAGGACCAAAGAATGCGTCTTTGTTGATGTCGTCCTCGATTCGACCAAAGATGGTTCCAATGAGAGGCACCAATGCAACCCATGTGTACAAGACCCACACGACGAAGAGCCAAGGAAGACGCCCATCGTTGCACATGATGAACAGCCATATCAGGAGAGCGGGAACGAACAAGAGAATCAACCCATAGAAACCAGCGTTGGCGTTGTATTCGTAGTTTGCTGGGTAGGAAGAGAGTGATATACCCTGAACGATCATCAGAGCGAAAAATCCAAATCGACCAATCCAGACGAGTAACGAAGTCATGCTGGTGCCTGTTCACAATCCCAAGTACCTTTGCTAATGAGTTTTCATTGGGCTGAAGGCTTACAATGTTCGTGGAACTTCTGTTAAGCAGATCGCGAGTGATCCGAATTCCGAGAAAAGCGTATATATCTTGAAACAAAAGACAAACAATTCTCGGAAAATTACGTCATAGCGATATATAATCCTTCCAAGAGCCCGTGCGTTACTGTCGTCGGTGAGTTGATCGCGACCTCTCCAGAAGATTACAAGCAGTCGGTTTTTGTTCCTGAAACCCTCCGCGATAAGGTTAAACTGAATTATTACACCGGGTATGCAAGTAAGAGAAAGTAACGAGAAAGAAATGACGACGAAATACGAAAAATGTGGATACCGTAACGGGCGTATGTTGGCCAATGTTAGCGCAGAAAAAAACCGCAAAAATCCACGGACATAACGTAGTTTGCCTTTTGATAGAAGATTGTGCGCTTTTCTCGGAATTTGGATGACTCGCGACCTGTGTTAAGACGAAAATATTCGAAAAATGTGAGCGAAAGATAAGAGTTTTAGCAACGATTCAAATCTCCATTCAATGTTCAAATTAAATGGGTTTCACTCTTTAATGAAAGACATAATCTAAGTAAGTTCTTTGCAACAATGTGTATTAACGCAATTATTAAATTCGGTTTTTCGTGATAGACTGCGCGGCTTTCAGTCGAGTGTCGAAAGCAATCAGGTAATTACTTTGGTTTTGGTTTAGGTTTTACTATGGTTTGAGATTGGCTGAGTAGTCTAATTGGTAAGTAATTGGTTTGGTTTTGGTTTTACAACACCCAATCGAAAACCGCTCTCTCAAGAGTAATCAAGGTCTCGCTAAGTTTGTTTTCACACTATAAATATTGGTTTGAGATGGTCTTCAGGCATCAGATGATGCTGATTTAGGCGGGTCGACAAAAGCCAGCTTCTGTTTACAGATGATTTCCAGTCCGTACTGCACACTCTCAAGAGTTTGTTTGCGTTTTATGTTTTGTTTCATGTAAGACATCACAAAAGATGTCTACTTACATGAAGTAAATTCAAAGTTTCAAAACAACAGTCATTATGGATGCGAAGCGGTCGAAGTTTTATGCTTCGTTCTTTCTCGTGTCACTTGATGAAACAACTTCGCAGCTGCAAAAACTAATGAAGCTGTTGGACAAAGAATTTGAAAGGCCTCAAAGATAAACGAATTACATCGATTCGAGTGAGAATTATAATGGTTATAAATATTAGGGTACTGAGACTGAGCAGTACGGACTGGAAATCGTCTTTAAGCCCGTTAGAGTGAAAACATGCTAAGTGGTACTGTTTTCATGCTGCTATACGAACATTCCTTTTCCATTTTCAGACCACGATTCGCAAAAAGAGAAAAATCACCGAAAACAGCTTGATCTCGAAGCTATAAAGAAGAACATACCTTTGGCACTATTCAATAGGTGGGACGTGATAAGGTACGTTCCTAGTATTTAAGGCAATAATAACTTATGTATAGAAAGCACATAATTTATACCATCCTTACTGTTAATTCCCAGTAATGTCATCATCTATCAAGGTTAGGCATAATTTAAGTAATTGAAATTTAAATTAATGGACATTTAAGTATGGAAATTTACACTAACGGTACATAGACTTTTGTATGTAAATAAAGTTACTCTTTTAAAAGTTATCCCAAAATATATCTTCTACCTAGAAAAATTTTCCAGCTCATTTTGACATTACTTTCTAGACTCCTGTATAAGTGTATTACAACAGACCTCAAAAGCTAAAAATGTATGTTCGATAAACTACTACAGTGAGTCGGGCGCTGTTTGTCGCATTATGCACATTCTATAGGAAAGGTTGGCAGGATTAACACGAGAAAGGAGGGAGGATTAACAATGCATAATGAGAGTAACAAAAAAAAGGCAGTGAAAGGATTTCCAGTGGCACTGGGCTGAAACTTGAGTTATGTAACTGGAGTACTCTCCATTCAACCAAAATCGGTTGTAAATGGTAAGAAAAACTTCCTGGGAAAAGTTTACAAAAAAATCCGGAAATATTGAATTTCCGAAATACGAACCATTCAACCGAAAATTTCACACAAAACTCCGAGAGGAAAATCAAGTGAAACGGTAATTCCCGGTAACTGAAAGTTTCTTAAATTTTAGTATACCTTGCGAGGTTGTACTCTTTTCGGGAAATTGCGTACAATGCGGTTTCATTGGCCACTGGAAATCTCCGAAAATTTAAACCGGAATTTTTGGTCGAATGCAAAGCGACCAAGGTCACTTTTGGTTAGCGCGGGAAAGTCACATAAGTACCGATGCCCTGATTGGTTCAAACACGTTGTACTAGCTTTTTGAACCAACCACATGACCAGAAGTACTCCCAGCTTTTAACGTCATTGGAAACGGTTCTCTTCGATGCCACATAAAATTTTAACGACGAATATTCCACTTTTTCTACGTTTCAGAATCGCCGTCGTCATTGTCCTTCCGCGTTACTTGCACCATGCAGAATAAACGCTTCGAGGTAAACCTAGGACCACAAAAAGTAAAAGTTAAGAGTCACATTTTTTAAAACATTTCTAGCTTGTTTGATCAGAAACTAGTGTAACAGATCATTTTATAGTTGTGTTCTCAGTTACCTGGCCTCTGAATGCAAGCGAGGCTGGGGGTGACCTTGCTTTGGGAAAAAGACCTGTCAGCTTTTCTCATTTAACCCTTTGAATACCAACTACGCATATATGCGTCATTAATGGTCCTGCTCTTTGTACCACTTGTGACGTCATCAAATTTAAAATGTCATCAGATATTCTTGATAAGCAGATAGTAGTGCTAGGCTAGCCCTTTCCGCACAATGGTCAGGTTTAGATATCGAAGACATTCCGACGTCGCAAATCGAAAAACAACGTTTATCAGTTTTGGTGCAAAAACGGTGGTAAAATGGTCCACAACGCCTATGATTGATCAAGGTCCATTTCTAGGCTTCGCGCGTAATTAACATCCAACT